CTCATAAAAGCTCTTTACAGCATTTAGTAACTTACCACCTATTCCATATACTTGCAACATCTGCCACATTGCTCCTCTATCCACTATCATATGCCTTTTCTAAATCCATAAATGCAATAAAAACTTCCCTACCTTTATCTAAATACTGTTCACATATATGTTTCAATGTAAACACTTGATCTACACATCCCCTACCCACTCTGAAGCCTCCTTGCTCGTCCGCAATTCTACATTCTGTCTTACCTCTAATTCTTTCAATTATAACCCTACCGTATTTCTTTTCCTGGTATACTCAGTAAACTTATTCCTCTATAATTTTTACAATCTCTTTTGTCCCCTTTCCCTTTATATAAAGGGACTATACATGCTCTCCGCCAATCCCTAGGTACCTTCCCCTCTTTCATACATTTATTAAACAAAAGTACCAACCACTCCAACACTATATCCCCCCCCTGCTTTTAACATTTCTGTCATGATCCCATCAGTTCCAGCTGCTTTACCCCTTTCATTCTACGTAATGCCCTCACGTACCTCCACCACACTTACATTCTGCTCTTCTTCACTCCTAAAAGATGGTATACCTCCCTGGCCAGTGAATGAAAATTACCGCCTCCCTTTCTTCCTTAACATTTAAAAGTTCCTCAAAATATTCTCGCCATCTACCTAATACCTCCCTCTCCCCATCTACTAACTCCCCTACTCTGTTTTTTAACTGACAATCCATACTTTCCCTAGGCTTTCTTAACTTGTTTTAACTCACTCCAAAATTTTTTCTTATTTTTCATAAAAATTTCTTGACAGTGCCTCTCCCACTCTTTCATCTGCTCTCCTTTTGCACTCTCTCACCACTCTCTTCACCTTTCTTTTACTCTCCATATACTCTGCTCTTCTTATAACACTTCTGCTTTGTAAAAACCTCTCGTAAGCTACCTTTTTCTCTTTTATCACACCCTTTACTTCATCATTCCACCAATCACTCCTCTTTCCTCCTGCCCCCACCCTCCTATAACCACAAACTTCTGCCCCACATTCTAATACTGCATTTTTAAAACTATTCCAACCCTCTTCAACCCCCCCACTACTCATCTTTGCACTAGCCCACCTTTCTGCCAATAGTCGCTTATATCTCGCCCGAACTTCCTCCTCCCTTAGTTTATACACTTTCACCTCCCTCTTACTTGTTGTTGCCACCTTCTCTTTTCCCATCTACCTCTTACTCTAACTGTAGCTACATCTAAATAATGATCCGATATATCAGTTGCCCCTCTATAAACATGTACATCCTGGAGCCTACCCATCAACCTTTTATCCACCAATACATAATCTAACAAACTACTTTCATTACGTGCTACATCATACCTTGTATATTTATTTATCCTCTTTTTCATAAAATATGTATTACTTATTACCAAATTTCTTTCTACACATAGCTCAATTAAAGGCTCCCTATTTATATTTACCCCTGGCACCCCAAAATTACCTACTACTCCCTCCATAACATTTTTACCCACTTTAGCATTGAAATCCCCAACCACCATTACTCTCACACTTGATTCAAAACTCCCCACGCATTCACTCAACATTTCCCAGAATCTCTCTCTCTCCTCTACACTTCTCTCTTCTCCAGTGCATACACGCTTACTATAACCCCACTTTTCACATCCAATCTTTATTTTACTCCACATAATCCTTGAATTTATACATTTGTAGTCCCTCTTTTCCTGCCATAGCTTATCCTTCAACATTATTGCTACTACTCCTTTAGCTCTAACTCTATTTGAAACCCCTGACCTAATCCCATTTATTCCTCTCCATTGAAACTCTCCACCCCCTTCAGCTTTGTTTCACTTAAAGCCAGGACATCCAGTTTCTTCTCATTCATAACATCCACAATCATCTCTTTCTTATCATTTGCACAACATCCACGCACATTCAGACTTCCCACTTTGACAATTTTCTTCTTATTCTTTTTAGTAATCTTTACAGGAAAAGGGGTTACTAGCCCATTGTTCCCGGCATTTTAGTTGACTTTTACAACACGCATGGCTTACGGAGGAAAGATTCTTATTCCACTTCCCCATGGATATAAAAGGAAAAGTAATAAGACCAAGAACTATTAAGATAAAATCAAAGAAAACTCAGACGAGTGTGTATAAATAAACGTGTACATGTATGTGTAGTGTGACCTAAGTGTAAGTAGAAGTAGCAAGACGTACCTGTAATCTTGCATATTTATGAGACAGACAAAAGATATTAAAAGCAATTAAAAAATGGAAAACAATCATATCTTGGTGTCAATAAACTGTAAAATGTAAACATCACTAGTGCTTTACACAACCACTGTTGTAGATTAAGTGATAATTTTTTTCCACCAACTTTAACACATAATATCTTGTTTTTATCAGATTTTGCTCATTCTAGTCTTATCTAATTCAGAATAGACGAACTAATTTCTTTTTAAATCAAAATCTTGTGCCATACAGGAATTTTTTTCTGGCTCTCCTACAGTTAAAAGGGGTTAAATTTATTTCTCAAACACCAATAATGGTGGTATTTTAAGCATTACCTGATCACCAGGAACAAAAATACAGCAATTTGAAATGCTAGAGATCAAAGAGTAATTATGAAAGTGGCCTAAAACTCTTGACCTATATAAAAAAAAAAAGGGGGAGAGGGGGGAGGGTGAAGAGGAGTATATTTTGGTCAAAAACTACCACCAAACCAAGTCTGCAAATATGAGCTGGTGGTCACTGGCAGATCTGTTCTGATTACCCCCTCCATCTATGATCGAGAAACTCTAAGTATCAAATTTATTATATGTAATTTCGAAGGGTATCCAACAAAGTTACTAACTTTTCAAGTCAATGAAAGTAGAGACTGATCCAGGCAGCATGTTCAGAGACTTTAAAAGTACCAAAGTTATCTAACAACAATTTAGGTTGGGTCAGTGTTAGTTAAAGCACCAATTTTATGTACAGGTCTCCCTCAACATTCACGAGGGTTAGGGGATCAAGAGCCTCACGAATGTTGAAAAACCGTGAATGTTTGGTGCCCCAATATATTGTAGGGAAATATAATACAATACTGCTTCCTTAACTTGTTGAACCATGAACAATCATAAAATACATGAAAACGTTGTAAATTGTACTAAATACATATGTTATGCCTTAACATGTTATTAAATACCACTGCCTCCACCACTGCAAGTCCGTGCTACCCTCCCTCTGACCCCCCACAACTGGCAGCCAGCCCTCCCACCACTGTGTGGCGAGTGTTTTGTTTGTTCATTATTTGCTATTAAACTACAGTATAAATAATGTCAACCCATCCATGACTGCATATTAGAATGGCTATTCGGACAGGTATTGGAAGGTGACATGTGTTTACTCTTGAACACAGCAAAGAATCAAACATTTGTGCTACTGCTAATAATAATAATAATAATAATAATAATAATAATAATAATAATAATAATAATAATAATAATAATAATAATAATAATAATGATAATGATAATAATGATAAAATAAAAAATATAATAAAAATTATAATAAAAATAATATAATAATAATAATACATAATAACAATAATAATAATAATAAATACGATAGAATTGAAGAAGGAAATTATACAAAAATACGAGGGTTGAAGCAGTGGTGGAGGAAGTGGTTGACACATCGTCAGTGTGGCTTTGTTTATGCTGGAGTGAGTATTAGTCTCCGTGCTCTTCCAAACATTTCACAATAATTCTTTGTATTTGGTGCTTGTAGATTAAGTGTGACTGGAGTGGTTGAGGCAGTGATAGAGGCAGTGGTAGAGGCAGTGGTATTTACTAACATATATATGTTATAAATAATAATAGTACATGTTAATATTAATAACATTTATAATAATAATAAATGTTATTCATAATGTACTATTACTATTTATAACATATGTTAATAAATGTCACTGCCTCTACCACTGTCTCACCCACTGCCTCTACCGCTGTCTCACCCACTGCCTCAACTGCTGCCTCACCCACTGCCTCACCCACTGCCTCACCCACTGCCTCACCCACTGCCTCTACCACTGCCTCTACCACTGCCTCTACCACTGCCTCTACCACTGCCTCTACCACTGCCTCTACCACTGCCTCTACCACTGCCTCTACCACTGCCTCTACCACTGCCTCTACCACGTGCCTTACCACTGCCTCTACCACTGCCTCTACCACTGCCTCTACCACTGCCTCTACCACTGCCTCTACCACTGCCTCTACACTGCTCTACCACTGCCTCTACCACTGCCTCTACCACTGCCTCTACCACTGCCTCTACCACTGCCTCTACCACTCCAGTCACACTCAGTCTACAAGCACCAAATACAATGAATTATTGTGAAATGTTTGGAAGAGCACGGAGACTAATATTCACTCCAGCATAAACAAAGTCACACTGACGATGTGTCAACCACTTCCTCCACCACTGCTTCAACCCTCATTTTTGTACAATTTCCTTCTTAAATTCTATCGTATTTATTATTATTATAGTAATATTATTATTATTATTATTAGCAGAAATGTTTGATTCTTTGCTGTGTTCAAGAGTAAACACATGTCATCTTCCAATACCTGTCCGAATAGCCATTCTAATATGCAGTCATGGATGGGTTTACATTATTTATACTGTAGTTTAATAGCAAATAATCAACAAACAAAACACTCACCACACAGTGGTGGGAGGGCTGGCTGCAGTTGCAGGGGTCGGAGGGAGGGTAGTAAGGACTCGTGGCGGTAAACTTAAATATGATTTGGCAGCTGGGAATTTGGCGTTTGGAAATTCGCGAATGTGTGAAGCCCGCGAAAGTTGAAAACGCGAATGTTGAGGGAGACCTGTATAAAAGAACTTTGCCAATATGAAAATGTTGGAGACTTGACAATGTTAACAAGGTTTGCATTTGGAAACTTGCTGTAAAGTCTACATGGGGATTTAGCAATATTGTATACATGTCTAACTTACTTTGTATTGCTTTTCAGCATACTCCTTTTGAGGTTCTGGGTTGGTGACACGGTTCCACGTTACATCCGGGTTTTTGAATGCCAGACGAAGCGTATAGAAGAATGCACCAGCCATACCAGCACCCACAAAAATGTACAGTGGGATCAGCTGAAAAGAAATAATTTTTCAAAATCTTTACTAAAAGTATAGCACAGCATTCTGAAGAACAAAAAAAATAAGAAAACACCTAAATTTTCTGTATAACTATGAATTAAAGACTTCAAAGTAATAAAAAATTTCAATAATAATTTTAAAGAAAAAAAATTAAAATTTCTAAAACAAGCCTCTAAACTGTTATAAATGTTCTGTTAACTGCTAAAACAAATTAGAATAAAAACATATCCATTCTAGGATCATCACACATTTGAAAACGAGCCTTAAACCAGTACGGGCCATACAGCTATAGGATGAAAAATTGCTTAGGAAATATTGCCTACAAGTAGATTATCATTACACGAGAAAGTGCTAAACTTGTCGGGGTCATAGCATCTAGGCCCTAGGGGTAGGGGGCAATAACCAGATATGATCCAAGTTTGGGAAGGACAGGTGCAAATCCCTGGATCAAGAGCCCGACACTGGAGCCAAGGAAGCTTTCACGGGACCAACATAAGCAATATGGAAAAAAATGCAACCACCTAGTTTTTATGGAAAAATTGAAACACCTAGTTTTAATTAATCAGTAAAGGCACTCAGGTATTACCCCATGTGTCATTCCTCAACTTAATCAGCAGTGAATATCATTAATATGATAGTCGGAATTGTTAAATACGCAGTCTTAAATCGGTGGCAGGTCGCTCTTGCTGGGAACCCAACCTAAATAAAAAGTTACAGTTCTTACAGCTGGATGTCTTTTCAAGCTAGAAAGATTCGTCCCCTGCATTGTAGTAGTGGAGTTGCTGTAGATGGTAATACACGGAGCAGCAGCAGCAGCCGGACACAATATGGCGGCGGTGCAGACCTCAGCTGGTATCTACATGGCCACACTAGTCCAACATTTACTTGCTTTCATAGCAAACATTATTTTATATAATTTATGCTTAGTACAAGCAAATTAATTTAATTTATTATTTTTTGACTTGAATTTCGAGAAATTGTAATATTATTATAGGTGCTAGTGATATATAATCTTAATCTGCCACATTTTTTTCAACCTTCCTACACACATAATATTGATGGTTATTATAAATGGGATGGGAAATATACTATATGTCCCACTTCTTTTTATTATAAATGTTGGTGTGAGTTCGGTTCGCAATCTGGGCTTTACAATTATTACAGCTGTGTACTTTAATTTTAATAACCTTACAATCATACAAGGACACCAGTGGAAAAAAATCACTTTGACTTTTTCTGAGGTTACTCTATGTAATTTACAATATGTATGAAAATTGTACTTATGTGTACCTGTGTCTAAATAAACTTGCTAATTTAACCATTACAAATGTTTTATTGTAATTTCCTCAACCATACAACCATCTTTTGTTTTTGAGCATATACAATATTTTGTCTTGATTCCAAAACACTGTAAATATGTCGTACAGGAAAAGTAACAATTTTATAATGTAATCTTAAATAAAATAGTTGAGGATGACTCTCGCCTGGACGGTAAACAAGTCATGGCCTTCATATCTGACTGGACACAACTCGGCAATGATATATTTTATCGGTAATATATCATTTATTGTAGTTTTTTTTTATTTCAAGACGAAGATCCGGCCATTTATGATACATGTCTTATCTTACATGTAAAACAATAAGCTTAAATTACTACGGTTTAAAGATATGATGACCCCTGAGGCTCAGCAATAAGTAACGCCCACTGCAAATTTTTGTTATCCTTAAATATATTGTTAATGTATATTACTGTGCAGTACCTAGGAGGATTGCTCGTCTTCTCAGTAATCTTTAATCACTAGTACTCTACATTAACTTGCCTTTAATAGTGCACTTAAAATACAAGTTCTACTTAAATTCAGTTTATTTCAGTTTTCCTCTCTTTATTAATTGTTCGTATTCCTGAAATATTTCCTTTCTAGTTTTGAAGGCTTGGTCTGAGATCTGTCTCTGGGGGGCAGTGATCTTCCAGGTCACGACAATGGTAGTGCTTTTGATTCACACCTGAAGGACCCAAGTTAGATCCTGGAGCCAGTAGAAAATTTGTTCATATTCAATTAATGCCTCAGTTCACCTAACAGTTAATAGTTATAGTACCTGGGTGTTAACCAATTTGTGGGTCACATACTGGGAAAGAGGATCAAGCAACCCTAATTGAAATACCCCAGTAAGCAATATTATTTGGCTTTCTTGGGTTAATACTTTGAATAAAGATACGATCTGTAAGTAAAGATTTTTTAATGAGTAAGTTTTAAATTGTTTGGTTTACTGTACAGTTTGGCAATGTAGTTATGGTGTGTACAGATATACAGAGAGTACTGTATGTATTAATTTTTATGAATATTTCAGAAAGAATGAGCTGTACACAATGGAATGGGGAGGGGGCATTAACCTGGGAGACTTCCTGGTTGCTGCAGCACCTTATGGGGGTCCTTTGGCTTTGACTCGTGATGAAACCAAATTCACCAAGACGCAGCATGCTGGCAAACCTCTGATATTTATCTTCAGTTCTTCTGGAAGAAAAATTGCCTCCTTTAAAGTAAATTAATGTCAGCATTTCAACAATACTTTAGAGAGAGATATAGAAAGATAGAGATAGATAAATACAGATTATACATACTGTGTATATGTATGTATGTAAAATATATATACAGTGGACCCACGACCAACGATATTAATCCATTCCAGAGAGCTTGTCGTTAGTCGAATTAATTTACCCCATAAGAAATAATGGAAATCCAATTAATCCGTTCCAGACACCCAAAACTTCAAAAAAAAAAACATTCACATGAAATATACATTTTTCTACACAGAAAAAGAAGGATACATGCACATTAAATACTGTACTGTACTAAATGAAGAATAAATGACACATTTATTGAAGATGTAGTGATGAGTGATGAGATGGGAGGAGGGGAGATGGAGATATATTAATTTGGGAACAATTTGAGAGTCACTGGACCTCTGTCACACCAAAAATCTGTCCATTGAGCTTTTCCAGAACAGGCCTGTTTTGTCATAGTTGAACACTTGGGGTTGGAATTTTTCAGCTTTGCCATGCCTTATCACACTGTATGCCATTACAATTCTTAAATCTCTCAGACCAACCTTTGCTGGCCTTAAATTCACCAATATGAGCACTAGTTCCAGGCATTTTTTCATGCTCACCTGGGTGTTAGTTGACTGGTGTGGGTTGCATCCTGGGGGACAAGGTTAAGGACCCCAGTGGAAATAAGTTACAGTCCTCGATGATGCACTGACTTTCTTGGGTTATCCTGGGTGGCTAACCCTCTGTGGTTAATTGTTTCTCGGTAATTGTTTCTCGTTAAGCCACACCAACAACACACACTCCACATCTTTGAGTAGTACAGCTGACAGTGGTGCAGCAGCAGCTGACCGTGGTACAGCAGCAGCAGCAGCTGACCATGGTACAGCAGCAGCAGCAGCTGACCATGGTACAGCAGCAGCAGCAGCTGACCATGCTACAGCAGCAGCAGCTGACCATGCTACAGCAACAGGAGCAGCTGACTGTGGTACGATAGCTTTTCGATAGTATTTCTCACCCTTTTTACCACAGGGTTGGCACTAGAAGCTTTCTTTGGGCCCATGGCGGCTTATTTAGCAGTTACAAGCACTAAAAACAATCGAATAATACAAAATGTATTGAATGTATGGTTGAAACCGTCCACCCTGGCTTGTAAACAATGGCACACTAGCTAACGGCAGGGCAACTGAGGCACTCAGGCTGGACGGACAGGTTCAGGATGAATCACGTTGGTCAAGTTTTTCATCGTTGGTCGGGCCAAAATTTTTACGCTCAAACTCTTCATTAGTTGAATTTATCATTAGACGATGCCTTCGTTGGTCAGGGGTCCACTGTACAGTAGAACCCCCATATCCACTGATTCAGTATCTGCAGTTTGAGTTATCCATGGTTTACTGTGGTCCAAAAACACCTCTTAATTTTGCATAACAATGACCCCAAAATGCAAAAGTAGAGACGCTGGCAGTACTTCAGAGCACGAGAGAAACCGTAAAGTGCTTCCCACCAGTGAAAAAGTGATAATTCTCCTCTTATTGTGCATAATTTATCAATTAAACTTTATAATAGGTATGTATAGGACTTACATATAGAGTTTTCTACTATCCACTATTTCAGTATCCACGGCAGGTCCTTGGAACATATCCCCCATGGATATAGGGGATCCTACTGTGTGTATATTATTTTTTTCTTTTAACACATCGGCCGTTTCCTACCAAGGCAGGGTGACCCAAAAAGAAAGAAAAACCCAAAAATAAAGGAAAACTTTCATCATCATTCAACACTATCCCCATCACTCATACATAATCACTGTCTTTGCAGAGGCGCTCAGATATGACAGTTTAGATGTCCCTCCAAACTGCCACTATCCCAAACCCCTCCTTTAAAGTGCAAGCCACACCCCCGGCCGGGATTGAACCCGCGGTCATAGTCTCAAAACTCCAGCCCGTCGCGTTAGCCACTAGACCAGCTAGCCACAATAAGATTCATCCAACTAGGTATATTTCTACACCATAGGAAGGTTAGCACAGGCACCACTGTGACCACAAATGCAAGTGGTCACAGTGGTGCCTGTGCTAACCTTCCTATTGTGTAGAAATATACCTAGTTGGATGAATCTTATTGTGGCTAGCTGGTCTAGTGGCTAACGCGACGGGCTGGAGTTTTGAGACTCTATGACCGCGGGTTCAATCCTGGCTGGGGGTATGGTTTGTTTGCAATCGTGTCATTACGATTTAAAGTGCAAGCATTGTACTTCCCATTTCCAGTGCTTAAGTCTGGCTAACTGGTTTCCCTGAGTTCCTTCACAAAATATTATTTATTTAATTTATATTTTGCATGTATGTGCTCGAGAAAGATTTTATTGTAGGTCTTCATTTTGAATATGTTACAGATGTGTATATAAATAGTTACGAATTATTCATTCCAAGATCATATTCTCTTGGCTATATTATGTCTATAGTCCTGAAAAAAACCTTAGTCCATCATCTGTTCAGTCCCCATCATTTTCATAAAAAATATTCAACTCTGCCATAATTAAACCAGATATTATGTCATAGCACTTTTTTTTTTAACATGCCAGTAATATCCCACCAAGGTAGGGTGACCTAAAAAGAAAAACAAAAGTTTTTCTTTTTACAGCTGTAGTAACTTATACAGGAGAAGGGGTTATTAGTCCCATGCATCCGTCATTATAATCACCTCGTACAACATGCATGGCTTACGGAGGAAGAATTCTAACCCATTTCCCTATGGAAAACTGCTTTTGTAATTAGTATATATAAATGTCCTGTAATTGTTTTACGTGATGGTCGGATTGCTGTTGTCTTTTTTCTGTCTCAAAAACAAGTAAGATTTCAGGTACATCTTGCTGCTTCTACTTACACTTAGGTCACACTACACAAGCATGTACAAGCATATATATAGATATCCCTTTGGGTTTTCTTCTATTTTCTTACTACTTCTTGTTCTTGCTTATTTCCTCTTATCTCCATGGGAAAGTGGAACAGAATTCTTCCTCCGTAAGGTATGCGTGGTGTTGTAAGTGGCGACTAAAATGCCGGGAGCAAGGGGCTAGTAACCCCTTCTCCTGTATACGTTACTAAATTTGTATAGAGAAACTTTAGTTTTTCTGTTTGAGCCACCCTGCTCTGGTGGGATATGGTTGGTGCATTGAAAGAAAGAAAAGATAATAATGTACAGTTTTTTGGTGTCTTCTATTCTTGAGATATTCTCAGTTTGAATATGTGATATAAGAGGTACTGGTAATTATAATTTATAGATACAGTTGTATAGTGTATAATAAATATTACTAACTTATTTGTTTATGTTAGTGGACAAGTGGATTCCTGTTATCACTTGGTTGGTCACGGAGTGAAGACCTCGTGTGTGTGCAGGAGGATGGGGCAGTGTTGCTCTATGACATGTTTGGTACCTATCAACACACTTTTAATATGGGACAGGTGAGAATATGCATTCAAATAATTAAACATCAGCTATACAATGTCAGATATTTTAAGTTATAATTTTGATCTGCCTGTGTGTAACCAGGGGCTTTTCAAAATGTATAAAATATGTGTTGTCTAATTTGGTAATATAATTATGTACCTTTTGAAAATAAAAATTAGTTTTAATTAAATTGAGTACCAAAACTATCTTCACGTGCTGGCTACTCGGAATGACAGGACTTAGAGGATTTCAAGAAACAGTAGTGTGAGAGGTCACAGATATAATATTTGGTACTAATCATAGATGGTTTGAAAGATTAAAAGGTAGACTTTATTTGGATTAATAGCTCAGAAGAGTTAATAACACAGGATAACCCAAGAAAATCAAGCAGTTTGACTAATTTCTAGTGGGGGTCTTAGGTCCTTCCATAGGATGTGACCTCGACAGATGATTAACCTCTAGGTATCTATTTACTGCTAAGTGAACAGGGGCACTAGTAAGTCTACGAATGCCAGTATTGAAGTGACTGATTTTCAGGATATTTTAAGAGGTAAGAGAAGGTGGCTGTTCACTTTAACAAGTGTTCGTTGTTGATGAAGATAGACTGTACCGTAAGCAGGTATTTTCAGGAACCTTAATTTTAATAAATAATAATGACAGTAGGGTGATTGTGGCTGGCAAGCATAAACAAAAGTATATTTTTGTTTTAATATTTGCTCATATGAGTTGTAGCCAAATTTGTTTATTCTTTGTATGCACATTATTGGTGCATGTATACTGTGTTACGATACCTGTATTTATTTAAATATTTTACTAGTTATTGCACTTAATTGGTCTTTTGCTCTATTAGTCATGAATTTACCTCATTATGGCAATGAAATCATGGTCTTATTAAATGGGGTGACAGATAAACTGCCAGCAAAAGGGGTGAAATTAGGGCACTTGCAAGGTGAACCCTTGTTGTCCAATATTTTACTTGTATATGAGCTTTGCTAAGGCATTCAGAGGAACACACAAGTAAAGATTGTATATCGTATTCCATCAAAGTCTTGATAAAGATCATACTTGAGTGAAATAGTGTTCAATAAATGCTAGCCTCTACAAATTTACTTCATTCAGTCTCAAGCTGTCTTCTCAGAAGTTAAGAAACTTACAGGTGCTCCCGATTTATGGTGAGGTTACGTTCTGATAAACCAATCCTAAGTTGAGACTATCATAGGTCGAAAATTATTAATGTTGTAAATGAATAAATAGATAACTACTGTCACTGAATAAGTAAATAAATAATCACTGTAACTGAATACCAGCATTGAAAAGTAAATAAACGAGTACAAGGTTAGCCTATCAATAAATGTGCAGTACTGTACAGTATAGAATATGCATCATTATTGCACCATCGTAAAGTCAAAATATCGTAAGTTGAACCAATGTAAAGTGAGGAGCATCTGTACTGCAATTCAAATGATCTGAAACTACAATATCTTTACTAATCTTTCTGTAGCTGTTTTTGCAGCCATTCGAGTAGAGGATGAATGAAATTTCTCAATGTAGATTTTTATCATTAAAAATATTGTCTATTTTAAAATAGGTGTCATCGATGCAGTACTTGGAAAATTATAATTTGTACTGATACCTGATAATTTCCAATTTTCATTAGTAAGATATTCTTTGTGGATACTGTACAGTATTAAAAAAATAGAAAGATTTTAATTTTTAATTATAATTAGTGAACCTGAAACACAAGAGACTTCATTAACTATTAATTAATTTTAAGATAGGTAACTTGTGAGATTTTTTTGTTATTTATACATGATGAACTAACCTGAGGCCATGGTATCTGCAGGAGGTAAAGGACACTCATATCCAGAGTGCTCAAGTTTTCACAAGCCACAGGGAGACTGGAGTAGCCATCTTAAGTAAATCTAACCGGATTTTCATGGTTAATAATATATATGAACCCAAAACCAGAAAATATCCAGATATACCTGGTAAGTTGGCTGGTACTACTGCTTTCTCTCATTACATTATTATGACTTTGGAAATTTTCTTGCCATTATATAAGAAGGTTAATATATGTTTAGGTAGTTGAAAGTGATTCAGTACTCATGCTTAAAAACCATACCAAATTCACTAGGATATTATAATGCATTAATTTTGTAAATATTAAGAATAAAGTTTTATCTTGATTCATACGACAATACAGTGGACCCCCGGTTAACGATACTTTTTCACTCCGTAAGTATGTTCAGGTGCCAGTACTGACCGAATTTATTCCCATAAGGAATATTGTGAAGTAGATTAGTCCATTTCAGACCCCCAAACATACACGTACAAACGCACTTACATAAATACACTTACATAATTGGTCGCATTCGGAGGTAATCGTTATGCGGGGGTCCACTGTATATCTAAAATCCTGGATAATTTTGTGATCTTCCAGCATCTCCATAATGGTGCACCGTACATCACTACATTTGTAATTGCTGCACTACTATGTCACATGTTATCTCTGATGTCTTCATTTATCACTGACACATATATTCAGTTTTCCTTCATGCATTTCCCCACTTAAGTCCTTTTGTGTATTACTCCATAAGTTAATTCCTGAAAAATCCAAAGCCTTTTTATGTTTATCATTTCTCAGTCTTTGCAGAATTATGTCATTGTATTCGTCTATTTTCATGCGTGTTGTAAGAGGCGACTAAAATTCTGGGAGCAGGGGCTAGTAACCCCTTTCCCCTTCTCCTGTATACATTACTAAATGTAAAAGGAGAAACTCGTGTTTTTACTTTTGGGCCACCCAGCCTCAGTGGGATACAGTCGGTGTGTTGAAAGAAAGAAGATTCATATATTTACCAAATATATTCACAGTTTACTAAGGTAGATATGAGTAAGGTATAAATATGTTTTCGAGAGGAGACAGATCACCTACTGTCTTCGATAATGATTAAGAGTAGAATGAGTTGGGGGTAGAAATTCAGTTTGCTTATGGTGCAGTGGCACAAGGGTGTGTGTGGGTTGCACACTCCTACACTTAAAGGTGCTTAGTCTTGTAGCTTATTAGAATTATTAACCTTTTCATTGCTGTAACCCCAAAATTAAAAGTCCCTCTAGTGTTGTAATCCCCCCACCTTCAAAAAAAAAAATTATCTTATGAAATGCTAAAGAATTTTCAGGTCATGAAACCAATAATGCAAAACTTGGTGGAAAACTTCAACGTGCAGTGTTATGCAGGTGCTAAGATGGTCAGAGAGCACTTTGCATAACTGCAATTTTTGCCTACTTTCAGGCCTGTTTTAGGCCAATTCCATTGCTTAAACTGACTCAGTTCCTGGCTATTTTGTTTTATGTTCTATTGATTGAGCACCAGAAAATGGCCATTCAACTATCAAAACAACCTATGTTATGACATACATTTACCCTTATTTCTTGTAGAAAAATCAGGTGTGGCATCCACATCTGGAATGAATGAAGGTGGTATATTCATCATTGCAGACAAGCAAAGGATATACAGTGGACCCCCGCATAACGATCACCTCCGAATGCGACCAATTATGTAAGTGTATTTATGTAAGTGCGTTTGTACGTGTATGTTTGGGGGTCTGAAATGGACTAATCTAATTCACAATATTCCTTATGGGAACAAATTCGGTCAGTACTGGCACCTGAACATACTTCTGGAGTGAAAAAATATCGTTAACCGGGGGTCCACTGTACATGTGTAGTCATCTTTGTTATGAAATAGGATGACATATTCATCTCACCCTATAAAGTGCCTAGAAATAGGTAATTTGGCTAGTTTCACACAAAATTCAACAAATTCCAATTTAATAACAGAGTCTAAAATAATTACTGTAGGCATTCTAGCCACTAAAGCAACCTTTCCTCTCTTCAATATTTATGTTGCCAGGCCTCTCCTATATCACATTTGACCTTCGTTTTGAATCCATCATCGCATAAAAATTTGTAGTTTTATCCCATATAACCAAGAATGATTGGTTGATATAGGCCATCCAAATACAGTGGACCCTCGGTTAACGATATTTTTTCATTCCAGAAGTATGTTCAGGTGCCAGTACTGACCGAATTTGTTCCCATAAGGAATATTGCGAAGTAGGTTAGTCCATTTCAGACCCCCAAACATTCACATACAAACGCACTTACATAAATACAGTGGACCCCCGGTTAACGATTTTAATCCGTGCAAGAGGGGTAATTGTTATGCGAAATAATCGTTATGTGAATGAATTTTCCCCATAAGAAATAATGGAAATAAAATTAATCCGTGCAAGACACCCAAAAGTATGAAAAAAAAAATTTTTACTACATGAAATTACTTTTTCCAGAAAAACAAGGTTGGCATGCACATATGGTGACATGAAGTATAGGTGGTATATTCAACATGAAGAATAAGAAATACTATTAAGTGGACCAGCTATAGACACTTCCGGGAGTGCTTCCTCTGTATGTAAGTCGTTGGCATTTCTTCGAAGGCCTTTACTGACACTGTTGTATGACAACTACGATTCTTAATCTCTCAACCAACTTTGCTCTTATGAAATTCAAATATGAGCACTAGTTCCATGGCATTCCTGTCACCTGGGTGTAGATATCGTTACTGTGTGGGTATGCTACCTGGGAGACAATTTTAGACCCAATGGAAATAGTTAGACATATTCATACACTGATATATGTGGCCTGGGGCTAATTTGGGTTTAGTTTCACACAATAAGCTCAACAAACCAATTTACAAGCAGCAGCTCTAGCACACACAGCTACTGTAGGGCACCCTTAGCCACCTAAAGCACCTTTCATTGTTAATATTTATGGCCAGTGGCATGCTCCTTATACTATTGACCTTCGTTTTGAATCCCCTTTTTGCATAAAGTTGTGAGTTTTTGCCCATGTCAAGTTGATTTTGAAAAGCCCATCCAAAACAGTGATCGAATATACGATTTTTTCATTCCGGAGTGGTGTTCCAGGTGACAGTACTGGAGCCGAATTTGGATTCACAAAAGGAAGGTTTGCGTAGTGGAGTCAAATTTCTGGACCAAATAACTTACATATCAATGCCACTTATGCATCATGTACACTTACATAATTGGTCGCATTGGGAGGTGATCGTTAAGCGGGGGTCCACTGTAATTGAAGCAAACTTAGTAAAGACTTAAAACAAACCAGGGAACCTACCCTTCAATAGGAAAATACCCCCAAATTGAATATTTCCCCTACTTTGAGGTCTTTTATGCCACTGGTCTATCAGTTGTTACCAAAAAGCAGACAATAAGACCTCCTCATGCAATGACTGGGAAGGGATTCTTTTCTACTGTTCACATCCATCACACAGACCCAATCTCTTGGAAGTTGTTCCAAGGGTCAGTGCCCTCATGGCCCAGTCCTTGACTAGGCCTCCATAAGCCAAAATTTACCAATCACAACACATTTAAGGGCACTATTATTAAGACGCAGATCTGTGTAGGCGACACTAGCTTCAGTGACCCAGATCTGCATGAGAGACAGTGAAAGAGTTAAGGGCTAGGAGTCATGGGTTATCATAAAATATTGAGAAGGAAAAAACACTTAAGCATTTTGTAGTTGTGAAAAAGTAATTTATTCTAGTGTTCTTTCTTCAAGACTTTCAAACTTCACTAATTTTACTAAATATGTCTTAATGTTGTACATATCCATTCAGGTGGTGGTGTAGAATGCTGGTGTGTGGTGCGAGAGGAGCGCCATACCAATGTACTAGTTAGCCAAGGTCGTGACCTTCTCCTCCTGAATCACATTGAGCAGCGCCCTCAGGCTTTGGTAAGCAGTAATTCTTGTTTTTTTTTTCATTTTAGGTAATTAAATCTGTAAAATTGAGCTAGTACAGCATATGTGCATCAGATATGCTTGAGACTGATTTTGAATACACTTTTGAGTAGAAAATAAAGATCTGAAGCAATTAACAATATTCTTTGAGCCATATCAACCTGACTTAATATTTTTTTCACTTTCATACAGTGTTAGAAATGAATATCAGATGCCAGTACTGGATTCGTTTAATTGATATGCAAATAACAGTCAAGAGGACAATTAGCATACAGTTAAAAGAGTCATCTTTTTTTATTACCTATATGTAAATGGAAGATTTTTCTTGGATTTTTGTTTTTAACTTGGAGAGTTAATAATCCAAAATAACCAGAGGAAGCTAATTAATGTTTTGAACCAAGTGTGAGAGTACATACTGTGGTTGCGATTTCCATGTCTAATGGAAAAATTTGTGCGAGTACGTTAAAAGACGAACATTTGGTCCAGAGGTAAATGTCCAGGTGGAGTTTAAGAGGCTATTCGTAGATAAGAGGTTTAGTATTATTAAGTTATACGTGTTTTTTGAAAAATGAAGGATAAAGTTTATCATAGCAAAGGTGATGATATAGAGTAAGAAAGTATTTGTTTGAATATGTATGTGTCTCGATGATTGGTTAGACCCCTCAACATGTATATATTGTAATGAGGGGCAACTGTCATATCGTTGCATTATGCTGTGCTAGCTCACTTGAGTAAAAGCTGCTGGGCTAGGATAGGCACAGAAGTTGGTAGTGGCTTAAGTGATATAAAACAATAACGCAGAGAGTTCCGTCAGGATAACGCAACTATGGGCAGATGATGGTAGATGCAATATAGTCCATTGGGGTCCTTAATGCTTCTCCCAGGATGAATCCCACAAAGTCGACTAACACCAGTGTGAGCAGGAAAAATGGCCTGGAACAGTGGCATATTGGGAATAAAGGAGATTGGTGGATGATGAATAGTAAAGGGTGTGTTAAAAGAGAAAAAGGTAGCTTATGAGAGGTTTTTACAAAGCAGAAGTATATGGAGTATATGGAGAGTAAAAGAAAAGTGAAGAGAGTGGTGAGAGAGTGTAAACAGAGAGCAGATGATAGAGTGAGAGGCACTGTCAAAAAATTTTAATGAAAATAAGAAAAAAATTTGGAGTGAGATAAACAAGTTAAGAAAGTCTAGGGAACAAATGGATTTGTCAGTTAAAAACAGAGTAGGGGAGTTAGTAGATGGGGAGATGGAGGTATTGGATAGATGGCGGGAATATTTTGAGAAACTTTTAAATGTCAACGAAGAAGGGGAGGCAGTGATTTCATGCACTAGCCAGGGAGGTTTACCATCTTTTAGGAGTGAAGAAGAGCAGGATGTGAGTGTGGGGGAGGTGTGTGAGGCATTACGTAGAATGAAAGAGGGTAAAGCCGCTGGAACTGACGGGATCATGACAGAAATGTTAAAAGTAGGGGAGGATATAGTGTTGGGGTGGTTGGTTTTTTGTTTAATAAATGTATGAAAGAGGGGAAGGTACCTAGGGATTGGCAGAGAGCATGTATAATTCCTTTATATATAGGGAAGGGGGACAAAAGAGATTGTAAAAATTATAGAGGAATAAGTTTACTGAGTTCTAGGTAGTAGGTTGGTAGACAGCAACCGCCCAGGGAGGTACTACCATCCTGCCAGGTGAGTGTAAAACGGAAGCCTGTACTTTTTTTACATGATGGTAGGATTGCTGGTGTCCTTTTATTCTGTCTCATACACATGCAAGATTTCAGGTACGTCTTGCTACTTCTACTTACACTTAGGTCATACTACACATACATGTACAAGCATATATATACACACCCCTCTGGGTTTTCTTCTATTTTCTTTCTAGTTCTTGTTCTTGTCTATTTCCTCTTATCTCCATGGGGAAGTGGAACAGAATTCTTCCTCCGTAAGCCATGCGTGTCGTAAGAGGTGACTAAAATGCTGGGAGCATGGGGTTAGTAACCCCTTCTCCTGTATATATTACTAAATTTAAAAAGAGAAACTGTTGTTTTTCTTTTTGGGGGACCCTGCCTCTGTGGGATACGGCTGATTTGTTGAAAAAAAAAAAAAGTTTACTGAGTATACCAGGAAAAGTGTATGATAGGGTTATTATTGAAAGAATTAGAGGCAAGACAGAATGTAGGATTATGGACGAGCAAGGACATTTTAGAGTGGATAGGGGATGTGTAGATCAAGTGTTTACATTGAAGCATGTATGTAAACAGTATTTACATAAATGTAGGGAAGTTTTCATTGCATTTATGGATTTAGAAAAGGCATATGATAGAGTGGATAAGAGAGCAATGTGGCAGATGTTGCAAGTATATGGAATAGGTAGTAAGTTACTAAATACTGTAAAGAGTTTTTATGAGGATAATGAGGCTCAGGTTAGGGAGTGTAGAAGAGAGGGAGACTGCTTCCCAGTAAAGGTGGGTCTTAGACAAGGATGTGTAATGTCACCATGGTTATTTAATATATTTGTAGATGGGGTTGTAAAAGAAGTGAATGCTAGGGTGTTGGGGAGAGGGGTGGGATTAAATTATGGGGAATCAAATACAAATTGGGAATTGACTGTTACTTTTTGCTGATGATACTGTGCTTATAGGAGATTCTAAAGAAAAGTTGCAAAGGTTAGTGGATGAGTTTGGGAGAGTGTGTAGAGGTAGAAAGTTGAAAGTGAACATAGAAAAGAGTAAGGTGATGAGGGTAACAAATGATTTAGATAAAGAAAAATTGGATATCAAATTTGAGAGGAGGAGTATGAAAGAAGTGAATGTTTTCAGATATTTGGGAGTTGACGTGTCAGCGGATGGATTTATGAAGGATGAGGTTAATCATAGAATTGATGAAAGAAAAAAGGAGTGGTGCATTGAGGTATATGTGGAAACAGAGAACATTATCTATGGAGGCAAAGAAGGGAATGTATGAAAGTACAGTAGGGCCCCGTTTTATGGCGTTTAGCCTTACGGTGTTCCGCTAATACGGCGACTTCAAATTATGACCAAAATTTGCTATACGGCAAGCAGTCTTTCAAATACAGCGCACCCCACCCGATTTATTTACATTCTCCATGAGCACACCTATTATGTCTGGAAACTTTCCATAATTTCAAGTGTTTAAAAGTTATTGCGTGTTTTATATGTACTCTGATAATTATGCTTATGTGTACCTGTATCTAAATATACTTACACATTGTGCTGAAGTGAAGGTACACATAAAATCACTAAGAGTCTCTCTACTCATGATGCCATAGTAATTTTTTTTTTTTTTTTTCAACAAGTCGGCCGTCTCCCACCGAGGCAGGGTGACCCAAAAAACAGAAAGAAAATCCCCAAAAAGAAAATACTTTCATCATCATTCAACACTTTCACCACACTCGCACATTATCACTGTTTTTGCAGAGGTGCTCAGAATACAACAGTCTAGAAGCATACACATATAAAGATACACAACATATCCCTCCAAACTGCCAATATCCCAAACCCCTCCTTTAAAGTGCAGGCATTGTACTTCCCATTTCCAGGACTCAAGTCCGACTATATGAAAATATACTAGGTAATAATAATCTCTCTTGGGCACATTAAATGTCTTACTTTACGTTAATATAAACATTTTCATTAATCCATCTATGATGTTTTCTTCAAAATTATATAAGAAACACATTACATAGCATATAAACATTATAGATACACTCACAGAATAAAAATTGAGATAAATATAAGATTTGTTTACAAAGCGGCTTTGTAGGAGTGTCGGAAGAATTACGTTTTCTCTAGTCAAACACTGGGGGATAACTGTAGATAAATAATCCTTTAGTATGCCTTCACTCTATGTATAGTAATTCACGATCCTTGTGGGTTTAGTGTTTCTTTTTTATGATTATAATAATAATTTGTAATATTAACTTGTAATAAAAATAATTTGTAATAATAATGAAAGTATAGTTGTACCAACACTCTTATATGGGTGTGAAGCTTGGGTTGTAAATACTGCAGCGAGGAGGGGAGGCAGTGGAGATGTCCTGTGTAAGGGCAATGTGTGGTATGAATATTATGCAGAAAATTCGAAGTGTGGAAATTAGAAGGTGTGGATTTAATAAATGTATTAGTCAGAGGGCTGAAGAGGGGTTATTGAGGTGGTTTGGTCATTTAGAGAGAATGGATCAAAGTAGAATGACATGGAGAGCGTATAAATCTGTTGGGGAAGGAAGAGCAGCGTAGGGGTTGTCTCGAAAAGGTTGGTGGAGGGGAGTGAAATAAAGGAGGTTTTGTGGGCGAGGGGCTTGGACTTCCAGCAAACATGCATGAGTGTGTTAGATAGGAGTGAATGGAGATGAATGGTATTTGGGACCTGACAAGCTGTTGGAGTGTGAGCAGGGTAATATTTAGTGAAGGGATTCAGGGAAACCGGTTATTTTTATATAGCTGGACTTGAGTCCTGGAAATGGGAAGTACAATGCCTGCACTTTAAAGGAGGGGTTTGGGATATTGGCAGTTTGGAGGGATATGTTGTGTATCTTCATACGTATATACTTCTAAACTGTTGTATTCTGAGCACCTCTGCAAAAACAGTATTATGTATGAGTGAAGTGAAAGTGTTGAGTGATGTTGAAAGTATTTTCTTTTTGGGGATTTTCTTTCTTTTTTGGGTCACCCTGCCTCGGTGAGTTATTATTGAGTATTAAAAAGATGTTTAGCCCTATCTGATGGGAATAATGACATGCACTAGCTACAAATTTTTAATCTGTACAGTATCCAGAATGGAATGAGGCTGGGGGCTGCATTGTGGAAATGGCTGTGTCTACTAATTCTCGTCACATAGCCCTTCTCTCTGACTCTGGCAAATTGTGGATTGGCTCTTCAGATATTCGGATAAAATACTGTGAATATGATGCCAAGAGTCAAGTTAAACCAAAACAGCTAGCGTGGTAAGATGGTTGTGTTCCTTATTGTTGCAGTTTGCCAAGTCTCAGCAACTTTTGGCTGGTTCTTATGTTCTTTTCTCTCCAAATGTAATATAGGGCAACCCCATTAATTCATAACTATGTATCTCTGATTTTGAACCAATCTTTCCACTGGGAAATAATTGAGATTACAGTAAAATACTACCCAATAATTTGGTTCTACCAAATTTAAGATGAAGTTGGAGGTATAAGTTGGGAGGGGAATTGATGTACAGTGGTACCCCAAGTTTCGTACAACTCCCAACTCAAACAATTATGTAAGTGTATTGTTGTAAGTGCTTTTGTAAGTGTATATTGGGGGTCTGAAACAGACTAATCTAATTTGCATTATTCCTTATGGGAACAAATTTGTTCAGTGACTGCACTCGAACAGCCTTCTGGAGCAAATTATGGCCAAAACTTGGGGTACCACTGTATATTGTTCTACTTTTTCTTCAGCTCAAAAGACATTCCTGTTAACTATGTGATAACTTTTGCTGGTGACCCAGTAACATTGTCACATTACTTACGAACTGCTATCTTCATCAATTTTTAGCAGTTCGGCTTCTGTTCTTGATGAGATTGAAATTAATTTTGTTAAAAATTTTGGTAAACAAAAACATTTATTTTTCCCTACTAAAGATGCTGCCTGTGTTGTATATGAATTGTTTTGAAAGTATCATAGTATACAGAAAGTATCATTATAGACAGAATTTTATAGATAAGGCCAACAGATATTTCCACAGAAAACTGAAGATTGAAAAGACTGCAAACATTCCCATGTTTGAATGGAGAAGTTTAAGCTCCTTAAACATTGCTGAATACATGACATTAAAAGAAAAGGAACTAAATGTGAATGTTAATGTATTAAATTTAATCCTTCTTTGGTGAGTAAGGACATGGATATACAGTACATTATGCTCTATTGTTTTCTGGTTAGTTTTAAACAAATGCTGTTTTTTTTTTTTTAACATTCTAGCTGTCTCCTACCGAGGCAGGGTAGGAGACAGCCTACATAATCACTGCTAAATATCTTTCCATATTAGTACAGTACATGTGTCATTGGACATTCCAGGCCCAGTCCAATCTGGCAAGTGGGAGGGGAAAACATGGGTAATGTTTAGTTAAACTCTTTCAGAAGCATGGGGCTGTCTCCTACTTATCCCTGGAGGATATAATACAGCAGAATAGATGAACAAGAAGATGAGGACAGTAATTTTAAATACATTAATTTCCTGTGAAGTTACGAAACTTCTTAGCATGCTAGAAAGCTTTATACAGGTACAGTACTGATTTTCCAGCACCCATGGTTCCTAGCCTTGCCAGTACGTTGATTATACTGGACCAACAGAGGTCACGTAATAAAAATTCAATAAAACACCTCTGGCCCACCACGGTCTTTTGGAAACTTAATTAAACTTTAGTATAAATAAAATAGATTTGTTAAAGTACTGTTGCAGTACTACCATTCCTAAAGTGATAACTTAGAATTTTACTGAAATTATAATGCTCCTCGTAACCACAAAGGGCTGGAAGTTGAAGATTGTCAGGATTACTGTCTGTTTCATAATTGGCTGTTTCATAATGGATCTGTGATGTTACAGGGATGATGTATGGGATACTTTGAAGTTGAATCCACAGGATTTTCACATGAAGTCCTACTATAACTTGCTCTTTTTGGCTGTCTTTTTAATTAGTATTTCATCCAAGTGAAGTTGTTTCATGTTCTCTGATCTTTCTCTGTGTAATATTTCATGCATCAAATAAACATTCATTAGCTCTTGTTCTGTCACAAGAGGAACACTGTTCTAGCCCTTTGATTATTTCACCTCACAACTTTATTAACTTGTTACTAGCCCTATCTTTTAACAAGTTACTTGTGTAGCTATGAACCCAAGCTATAGTTAGGTGTAATTATTAGCAGAATACACTAAGAATCACACAAAATCAAGTAATTGCCAATTACTGCAGTGTAAACAATATAAGCACACACTGCATACAATACCATCTGTGGCTGCTTATTGAACTAGCAATCTTGTAATTTTGTCCGAATTAAAAGAGGTGCCTGTCCATCAGTTGCTGTTCAAACGTTGTTGTACTTGTAGTATTCTGGAAGACTTCTAGCATGCTCAAACTGTGAAAACATGAACAACTCACAAAAAAACACCCTAGGTTTGCTTTATATATGATTGCTAAATAATTTTTTTTTTTTTTTTTTTTTTGTAGGTGTGGCACAGGTGCTGTTGTCTTGCTGTGGGATATGACACTTGAGGTAGTAAGTGTAAATGGAGATGCTACAAGTTACTATCTGGATTCTACCTCACATCTTGTGCAGGAAGTAGATGGGGTGCGAGTATTGGGTAGTATTACCCATGACTTGCTACAGAAAGTAAGTTGATACCTTCATTAATATATTCATTTTCTTTCTGAATTGACTTTTCTATTTTTAATAATTCAAAACTGTAGACAGTCATGATTTTCTTTTTGATTCATCACTGCATGTGAGTCATGTTCAGCACAGATGGCATATTATATATGGGTTGAGTCATGTTTCCTGACAAAATTGCAAGAACATTGCTTACTTACAAATTGATCAAGTAAACGTTCTAGAGAAAACGTAAAATACTTTAAAAATGAACAAATGTCTTTTAAGAAAGAAAATAAATTAAGAGAATGTAACATATTTGGAAAAATATTAAATACGAGTAGATATATGCCTTTCTCCATGGGGAAGTGGAACAGAATTCTTTTTCTGTAAGCCATGCGTGTCATAAGGGGCAACTAAAATACTGGGAGCAAGGGGTTAGTAACCCCTTCTCCTGTATATACTACTAAATTTAAAAGGAGAAGCTTTTGTTTTTTCTTTTGGGCCACCATGCCTCAGTGGTATATCTGGAGAAGGTTTTGGGGGTCAGTGCCCCCCACAGCCTGGTCTGAGACCAGGCCTCTTGATGGATCAAGGTCTGATCAACCAGGCTGTTACTGCTGGCCACATGTAAACCGATGTACAAACCACAGCCTGGCTGATCAGGTACTGAGTTTAGGTGCCTGTCCAGCACCTTGTTGAAGACAGCCAGGGGTCTGTTTTGGTAATCCCCCTTCTGTATGCTGGGAGGCAGGTGAACAGTCTTGGGCCCCTGACACTTGTGATGTCTCATCATTTTCATTGTATTAAGTGCTGACAATGTAAGCATAATTCTTCTGTTGAGACATTGCCTTCATTATTCAATGTAGTAGTTGGTACAGAGGTGCAGCATATAAAATGAAGATAAATAAGAAGAGTGTGTCACCAGTGTTGACATTCTCTCAGGTTACAGCCAGATTATTGAAAGAAAGAAGAGATATATTCCTTGCTTTTTGGCGAGTTCACTCGGCATGAGTGCTAATATACAGTGACCATACTTCTGACAGAAATTTCCTGTGTGCATGGAAAATTCAAGCTTACACACTTAGTGCTCACTGTAGGTTGATGCTGTTTTTATTTCCTGGTGGATATCAATTTTTAATCACCTGATATTAATTATAAGTCTGAGTATTGTTTAACCCCTTGTCTGTCACAACCCCAAATCCTGAGGTGTCTCCTGGTGTCACAAAATTTCCAAAAAAAAAAAAAAAATTATTTTTTCTTGTGAAATGATAGAGAATCTTTTCCTGATTGTAATGACACCAAAAGAATGAAATTTGATGGAAAACTGACAGAATTACGCTCTCACGAAGTTAGCGACCTTGGCGATATTTACAAATTGGCGATTTCGCCCACTTTGAGCCCTATTTTTGGCTAATTCCATTGTTCCAGTCGACCAAACTCATAGCTATTTCTTTAGAACTCCATTTTTTCTATCAATTGAGTACAAGAAACTGCCCATTTACCAATTTCAACTACCTAATAACGTGGTCAGAAATTGGCAATTTGACCAATTTCACGAAAATTAAAAAATATGACAATTCCAAAATAGGGTCCAGAATGAATAGTGCAGACATTCCTGGCTCTAACATAACATTTTCTTTGTTCATCAGTCACATCTCCAGGCCCCTTGGATATTACTCTTGCTTTCTATTTTGAATTTTTATTCAAACAAAAAAAAAGATTTACTTTTAGCAGACTTGTAATTTGAAATAATTGTTTAATAATGTCAACCCATTATGTGCATTTTAGAATGGCTTTTGGCATTTATTTGGAAAAATACATCTTTTTTTTACTTTTGAACATCGGCAAAAATCAAAATTTCCCCTCCTATGGTCCATTTTGAGGCTCTTTTCATGTTTTAAAAAAAATCAAAAAACCTCTATTTCTTAATATGTTTTCCATTTATCAAAAGAGACCCAAAAAACGGAATACATGATAAATATATGAAAATAGACCACAAAATCGGGATTTTTTAAATTAAAAAAAATGGTCGGAGTTTTTTTTTTTCCTTATGCACTGCTGCTGCAGGATTTTTTTTTTATGGTGACACTGACCACTAGACCATTCTCTACTGGGGTACCCGCTTTTCCGTTTGTTTTGGAACCGCTGAATTTATGAGTATACAGTGGACCCCTGCCTTACAATTTTTAATCCTTCCTAAGAGTCTCGTTTGCCGAAATTATCGCAAGGCGTTTAATTTTCCCCTTTAAAAAATAATGGAAATCAAATTAATATGCAAAACACAAAAAAAATTTTTTTACCCCCCTGAAAAATTTTTTTTAATACACACAAAATAAAGGGAAAACTGCACAAACTGCTTGCTAAGAATAGAATACATGACACTTACCCTTTTTGAAGATTGATGTGATTGATGGGATGGGAGGGGGGGGAGAGTGTGGAAATTATTGTTTTGAAGGGGTCCCCTTCTTGGACTTTAGATGCAAGTCCTTTTCCGGGGTTACTTTCCTTCTTCTCTTAATGCCACTAGGACAGCTTGGAGCACGGACCTTGTTGCACAACAAATTTGTCCATAGAGTTTGTACCTCCCTTCCTTTAAGTTTTCCCTAAAATGGCCACAACATTGCTTTGAAATGTCACCAGAACGGCTTGCAAAACTGTGTTGGGTGCTTTTTATCCTAAAGGTTTGCAGTTTTAACCCCCTTTTCACACATTTCCTTAATCTTTGAAGTAGGCACAATGGATTCACAATGGATGGGGTTTCAGGGTTAGCCCCAACCCTTCAAAACTTTCTTAATTTCCTACAATTCTCATCCTTTTTAACAAGGTTGGCATAGAAACTTTTTGGGGCCCATGGTGACTTTTTTTGCAGTTCAGGCCAAAAAACACTGAATTAAAGGGGAAATGACCGAATGTATGTGTGGATGCGACCCCCTGGCGGCTTGTGAACATGGCGCTGAGGCCACCATGGGTGCGTCCGGACGAATGCGGTTTAGGCGAGTTTTTTAGCATGAGAGAGGCAAAATTTTTTCGTTTTCTAATTATGTTTATGGCGGATTTAAGTAAGCATGCCATCGTAAGGTGGTGGTCCCCTGTTATCATCAAAACGGTTGGCTCGTAAGACGTTATTAGACAAAACAGTCAAAGGGTTAAATTTTAGCCCGAAAAAAAAAAAAAAAAAGTTGGAGATGTTTGTTACGTGTTTGTGAAAACAGTGTACTAATTTATGTTTGGGGTTAAATAATGTTTGGGAGAAAAGGTAAGGAGAGACCCAAGTATACCAAAGAATATTAATTTTAATTTTGTTTCTTTTAAAAATAAGCATGCGTGAGTGTGTTAGATAGGGGGAATGGAGACAAAGGTTTTTAGGATTGACATGCTGTTGGAGTGTGAAATAAGGTAAATTCAGAAGGGGTTCAGGGAAATGGCAGGCCCGATTGAATTTTGGGATAGGAAGGACAATGCTGGCACTCCAAAGGAGGGGGTGATTTGGGGTTTAAATTTTTGATGCAGTGTAAGCAGCCCCTGGAAAAACTGTGATGGAGAGAATGATGATGAAAGTTTTTCTTTTTTGGGCCACCCTGCCTTCGTGAGAGACGGCCTGTGCGTTTTTATTAATTTTTATGAGGATAGTGAGGATTGTTTGCATTACGATATCTGTTGTTGTTTTAGTGCAAATGGGTCATCTAACAGAAAATAAAGTTATCACCTGTATTTATACAGTATTTGTAGTAACTTAAAAAAAAATATTACCGTTTATTAAAATTGGAAAGTGTGTTTACATCAGTCAGTTTGGTGCTACCTTGGTCTTGTGTATTTACAGTATATATTATAATAGGAGGTTTTGTGGGCGAGGGGCTTGGACTTCCAGCAAGCGTGCGTGAGCGTGTTAGATAGAAGTGAATGGAGACGAATGGTACTTGGGACCTGACGATCTGTTGGAGTGTGAGCAGGGTAATATTTAGTGAAGGGATTCAGGGAAACCGGTTATTTTCTTATAGTCGGACTTGAGTCCTGGAAATGGGAAGTACAATGCCTGCACTTTAAAGGAGGGGTTTGGGATATTGGCAGTTTGGAGGGATATGTTGTGTATCTTTATATGTGTATGCTTCTAGACTTGTATTCTGAGCACCTCTGCAAAACAGTGATATTGGAGTGTGGTGAAAGTGTTGAATGATGATGAAAGTATTTTCTTTTTGGGGATTTTCTTTCTTTTTTGGGTCACCCTGCCTCGGTGGGAGACGGCCGACTTGTTGAAAAAAAAAAAAAAAAAAAAAAAAAAAAGTGAGGCTCAGGTTAGGGTGTGTAGAAGAGAGGAAGATTACTTCCCAGTAAAAGTAGGTCTTAGACAGGGATATGTAATGTCACCATGGTTGTTTAATATATTTATAGATAGGGTTGTAAAAGAAGTAAATGCTAGGGTGCTCAGGAGAGGGATGGGATTAAATTATGGGGAATCAAATACAAAATGGGAATTGACACAGTTGTTTTTTGCTGATGATACTGTGCTCATGGGAGATTCCAAAGAAAAATTGCAGTGGTTAGTGGATGAGTTTGGGAGTGTATGTTAAGGTAGAAAGTTGAAAGTGAACATAGAAAAGAGTAAGGTGATGAGAGTATCAAATGATTTAGATAAAGAAAAATTGGATATCAAATTGGGGAGGAGTATGGAAGAAGTGAATGTTTTCAGATACTTGGGAGTTGACGTGTTGGCGGATGGATTTATAAAGGATGAGGTTAACCATAGAATTGATGAAGGAAAAAAGGTGAGTGGTGCATTGAGGTATATGTGGAGACAAACAACATTGTCTGTGGAAGCAAAGAAGGAAATGTATGAAAGTATAGTGGTACCAACACTCTTTATATGGGTGTGAAGCTTGGGTTGTAAACACTGCAGCAAAGAGATGGTTGGAGGCAGTGGAGATGTCCTGGGTAAGGGCAGTGTGTGGTGTAAATATTATGCAGAAAATTTGGAGTGTGGAAATTAGGAGAAGGTGTGTAGTTAATAAAAGTATTAGTGAGCGGGCTGAAGAAGGATTGTTGAGGTGGTTTGGTCATTTAGAGAGAATGGATCAAATTAGAATGACATGGAGAGCGTATAAATCTGTAGAGAAAGGAAGGCGGGGTAGGGGTCGTCTGTGAAAAAGTTAGAGGGAGGGGGTAAAGGAGGTTTTGTGGGTGAGGGGCTTGGACTTCCAGCAAGCATGCATGAGCATGTTAGATAGAAGTGAGTGGAGACAAATGGTATTTGGGACCTGATGAGCTGTTGGAGTGTGAGCAGAGTAATATTTAGTGAAGGGATTCAGGGAAACTGGTTATTTTATATATCCAGACTTGAGTCCTGGAAATGGGAAGTACAGTGCCTGCACTCTAAAGGAGGGGTTTGGGATATTGGCAGTTTGGAGGGATATGTTGTGTATTTTTATATGTAAATGCTTCTAAACTGTTGTATTCTGGGCACCTCTGCAAAAACAGTGATTATGTGTGAGTGAGGTGAAAGTGTTGAATGATGAAAGTATTTTCTTTTTGGGGATTTTCTTTCTTTTTGGGTCACCCTACCTCGGTGGGAGACGGCCAACTTGTTAAAAAAAAAAAGTTATTTTGCAAAAGCTCAAATGTTTTCACTTCATTTTTCCTTTGCTTTAAATTTCAATTGAAAACTGCATATTTTAACTTTGGTAAGTTGAGCATTATGCCTATACATTGTAAAAGCAATGAATTTTTCTTACTTGTTTGAAGCCATTGATTGCTTAACTATTATTTATGCCACAGGTACCATTAGTTGTGACTGAGACTCTTGGCATTGGCTCTATGGCTCCTGGTGCTCTTCTTCTTGAAGCAGCTAAGGGCTTTCAGGTATGTCTAGTATAATATTAACATGTGCGTAAGTCACAGAAATCTTTGCTGTAGCATTTCCTAGTAGGCCCACCTTTTTGCAGCAAGGGGCACAGAAAGATGGTTTATGAACATACTGTAGGTTACTAGTCTGTAAAGCAAAGTAACATATTCCTGATATAAGTTTATGTATCGAGATAATTTGTTATGAAGTGTTGCATTTTAATATGTTATATTGTACCTTCATCAAAGTATTCATGTGTTTTAATTACTGCATATACAGTGGAACCCCGCTTAATGATCACCTCCCAATGCGACCAATTATGTAAGTGTATTTATGTAAGTGTGTTTGTACGTGTATGTTTGGGGGTCTGAAATAGTCTAATCTACTTCACAATATTCCTTATGGGAGCAAATTCGGTCAGTACTGGCACCTGAACATACTTCTGGAATGAAAAAATATCGTTAACCGGGGGGTCCACTGTACTGATATTAATTTTGTATTCAACCAGCTGTTTAACATGTGCAACAAACCACACCTTCCTAATCAAAACTAGTTACTAAACAGCAAACCTCACCAAGAAATATCCTTAGTAACAACAAAAGTGTATTATCTTCTAATCCCATTAGGAGAGAAGCACCCGAGCCAATGACTGTTTGGGCATGATTAAGGATGCCATGGAGGAAGCAGTTAATCAGTGCCTACAGGCAGCTCAACATGAATATTGTCCACAAGCCCAGAAAATGCTACTCAGGGTGAGATTTTTGTCTTTGGCATTATATTAATTTGTTTAGTTAATTTAAATATACTGTAGTTATATTAAATTCATAATTTAATAATCTAATGTGGTAAACCCTCTATTTAATGGACTAATACGGGATGAGTAAGGGGGCATACTGTATTGCCAGTCGTCCAAAACTTAGAGATTATTAAATTAATTTTTCATGTTCATTTGGTTGTCTTCTAAACAAGCTGAGTTGGTCTACTAGGATTATGGGTATTGTAACCTATAGTACTACAGTACAGTACTGTACTGTATAGAAATATTATAGCAATGTACATAATTTACAGTAATAAATTTGCCTTTTTATGGTAGAGAGATGAAATGTACACTGCCTTGACTGGTAGTGGAGACTCAGAATAACTTTCATTCTGAGTCAGAGGAGCTGTAAATTTCCACTAGTGAAAATAATGTAGATGGCTGAGATGATGTTCCACTGTGGCAGCAGACTCAAACTTCTATATTAGTTCAAGTTTCTGCTTAACATTTGTCCAGTCAAGTTTTTGGTCCAAAAATTCCAAATTAGTTTTACTGTATATTTTTTTTTCTCTTCTTCTTCTTCTTCTTCCAACAAACCGGCCGTATCCCACAGAGGCAGGGTGGCCCAAAAAGAAAAACGAAAGTTACTGTATATTCATATGAACTAAATAATAACATCAAAAACATATAAGCACTATTGTGCATGTACACATATTTTGAAGGACTGGTTCCTCTGGATATGTGTGTTTAAACTTGTTTGTTCACTTGCTTGCAACATCATAATGGTGCAGGACAGACTTGACATATCATTGCCTCCAAATTATGGGTCATTTGTATTTATAATAGGTGTAAATAATTTTATTGAAACACAGTGCCTTTATAATATACCCTGTCCCCTGATAACCAAACATAACATAACAGTAAGACAAAATAACCCATGGTTCATTAATAGTATATAGCATGTAGATTTTTTTTTTAACATGTCGGCTGTTTCCCACTGAGGCAGGGTAACCCCAAAAAAGAAAGAAAAAAAAAATTTCACCATCATTCAGATACGACAGTTTAGATGTCACTCCAAACAGTATTATTATTTTTTCCAGGCAGCACTCTTTGGAAAAAGTTTTATACCTGAGATGAACCCAGAACTCTGCAAAAAGACCATATTTACTCTAAGAGTTCTTAATGCTGTGCGGGATTACAGAGTAGGTGAGTTGTTGTAAATATGTATTACCAGTGTCTTGTAGTATAGAGGAATGAGGCTCTGAAGAACACTAGTAATGATATTTTTTTGCTTTCACTTATGTAGAAGAAAAATGGAAAGGGAGAACTAAATAGTTAGTATTGGAATTTTCAAACTGATCAGGCAATACCATTAAAAAGAATTAATGAAGGTAAGAAGCAGAGGCATGCATATAATTAAATTTATTATGGTATTCTTAAAATAAGAAAGAATTGATTGTGGATGTTATGAATGAACAGAAGCTGGATGTTCTGGCTCTAAGTGAAACAAAGCTGAAGGGGATGGGAGAGTTTCAGTGGGGAGAAATAAATGGAATTAGGTCAGGGGTTTCTAATAGAGATAGAGCTAAGGAAGGAGTAGCAGTAATGTTGAAGGACAAGTTATGACAGGAAAAGAAAGACTTTAAATGTATAAATTCAAGGATTATGTGGAGTAAAATAATGGTTGGATGTGAAAAGTAGGTTATAGCAAGTGTTATGCACCTGGAGATGAGAGAAATGTTTGGTGAGTGTGTGGGGAATTTTGAACCAAGTGAGAGAGTACATGTGGTTGAGGATCTCAGTGCTAAAGTGGGTAAAAATGTTGTAGAGGGAGTAGTAGGTAAATTTGGGGTGCCAGGGGTGAATGAAAATGGGAGTCTTTAATTGAACTGTGTGTAGAAACAGGTTTGGTAATAAGTAATACATATTTTATGAAAAAGAGGATAAATAAGTATACAAGATGAGATATAGCATGTAATGAAAGTAGTTTGTTACATTATGTATTGGTGGATAAAAGGTTGATGGGTAGGCTTCAGGATGTAGATGTTTATAGAAGGGAAATGGATATATTTGATCTTTATCTAGTTGTAGCTACAGGTAGATGGGACATAAGGAAAATGGCAACAGTAAGAAGGGAGGAGGAAGTTAGGGTGAGATATACTAAGCAACTTTTGTTAGAAAGGTGGGCTAGTGCAAGTATGGGTAGTAAGGGGGGTTCAAGAGGGATGGGATAGTTTTAAAAATGCAGTATTAGAATGTGGGGGCAGAAGTTTGTGGCTATAGGAGGGTAGGTGCAGGAGGAAAGAGGAGCGATTAGTGGAAGGGTGAGGTAAAAGGTGAAATAAAAGAAAAAAGTAGCTTATGGGGTTTTTACAAGCAGAAGTGATATTAGAAGGGCCAGAGTTATGGAGAGTAAAAAAGGTGAAGAGATGGTAGAGGTACAAAAGGAGGCAAATGTAAGAGGGGGGAAAAGCACTGTCAAAATTTTTTGCTCAAAATAAGAAAAAATTTTGGGTGGATAACAAGTTGAGAATTAGGGAACGAAGGGTTTTGTAGTTAAACCTTTGAGGGTTTGGCCCCTTAGTACGGTTTTAGGGCCCCAAGGGGTTTTGATGTACTAGTATGTACCCCTAAATTCTAGCGCCCTAAAACTAGTGGGAGAAAGTGGTGGCCTACATATGAAAAAATGGGTCTATGTGATCAGTGTCACGTATAAAAAAAACCTGCAGCAACGTGATAATGAGAAAAAAAAAACTTTGCCTTTTTTTTTGGAAAAAAACAGGGGGACTTTGCATGTTTTTCGTTTTTGGTATTTATTTTTGTATTCTAGTTTTTTTGGTTTCATTTTATAAAAGGGGAGAATTTTCAAAAAAATTGAGTGATTTGATGGTTTTACAATGAAAAGTCCCTTGAAAAAAAACCCAAAAGTAGCAGAAATGTTCGATTTTTAAAAAGTTCAAAAGTAACAAAATAGCCAAGACCCAATACACGAAAACTGGGATTTTAAAATTTCTTTCACAAGTGCGCCATTATTTATACCTTTTTTACACTAATGCGGTAGTCTGCAAAAGAAAATTTCTGTTTTTTTGGAAAATAAAAATTCAAAGGGAAGCAAAAATGTAAGAGGGGCCTTGAGAGTGAAATAAACGAGGAAATGTCTTTTTAGTCCCGGGGAATGTCTTTCTTTTTTATTTGGACCCTATTTGGAAATTGCTTCTTTTAAAAATTTGGTGAATTTTGGCAAAATTGCAAAAATTTGCCATTTTAAAGGATATTTTGAAATTGGTAAATGGGGGTTTCTTCACTATTTGATAAAAAAAAGGGAAAGTTCAGCGAAATATTCATTTTTTTTTCGATTATACAGTGGAATTGGCCGAAAAGGGGGCTCAAGTGGCAAAATCCCGTGGGGTAAACATCGCCAAAAACGCTAATTCGCAGAGACAAAATTCCCGTAAGTTTTCCATAAATTTATACTTTTGGTTCATTATGATTGGGAAGATTCTCTATCTTTTCATAAGTTTTTTTTTTTTTTTTTTTTTTTTTAATTTGGCAACCCCGAGAACGGTCTCAGAAGGGCCTGTCGCCCTCAAGGGTTGAAAAAAAGGGGGTAGGGAGTTATAGATGGGGGGTGGAGGTATTGGGTAGATGGTGGGGGTAGTTTTGGGGGGTTTAAAGTCAATGAAGAAAGGGAGGCAGAATTTATCAATGGTCGGGAGGTATAACATCTTTTTTGGGGGTGAAGAAGGCAAGATGTGAGTGTGGGGGGGGGTTATGAGGATTACGTAGAATGAAAGGGGGTAAAACAGCTGGGATGATGGGTCATGAAGAAATGTTAAAGCAGGGAGGGGATATAGTGGTGATATTTTTTTTTAATAAATGTTTTGAAAGAGAGGAAGGTACCCAGAGATTGGCGGTTGTATAAGTCCTTTATATAAAGGGAAAAGGGGCAAAGAGTTTAAAAATATAGAGGGTTTGTTTTCTGATTACCATAAAAAAAAGGGGTTTTTTATTTAAAAATTAATAAAATAACAAATTCAATACAAATTTAAAAAAAATTTTAAACAACCCCCCCCCCCCCCAAAAAAAAAAAAAAAAAATTTAAAAAAAAAAAAAATGGGGGAATGTGGAGAAAGGGTTAGGGGTTTTGAACAAGGAAGTTTTTTAAAAATTTAAAATTTTTATAAAAATTATTTATTTTAAAAAAATTATTATTTTAAATAATTAACATTTAAAAATTCCCATGGTTTTTTTTTATAGATGGGGGTTGGGGAAAAGAAGTAAATGCTAGGGTTGGGGGGGAAAGGGGGGGGTTAAATTATGGGGGACTCAAATGCAAAGGGAGTTGCACAGTTATTTTTCTATGAATGTGTTTTGGGGGGGGGGGAAGGAAATTGGGGTTTATGGAGGAGTTTGGAGGGTGTTTTAGTTTTAAAGTTAAAATGATTTTGATAAGAGAAAGTGATGAATAAAGATTTTATAAAGAAAAGTTTGGTATCACATTGGAGAGAGGGAGTATGGAAGAAGTAAATGTTTTCAGATATTTGGGAGTTGACTTGTCAGTGGATGGGTTTATGAAGGATGAGGTTAACCATAGAATTGATGAATGAAAAAAGGTAAATGGTGCGTTGAGGTATCCGTGGAGACAAAGAATGTTATCCATGGAGACAAAGAAGAGAATGTATGAGAGTATAGTGGTACCAACACTCTTAACCCCTTCAGGGTCCAAGGCCAAAATCTGAAGTGGTGCTCCAGTGTCCAAGAAATTTTGAAAAAAAAAAAAATTATTTTTTTCTTACAGAATTAAGGAGCATATTTTTGTGAAGGTAATAAGACAAAAAAAAAAATTCTGATCAGTACTTACCGAGATACAGTGCCAAGAAGTTTGTCGAAAATGATGTGGTGGCGGCAACATCGACGAATTCCACATACGCGCATTACATTATTTTGCTGTTTTTGTTGTTTTTTCTTTTCTTTTCCAATTTTTTTCTATTCCTACTAACATTTGGGGCCTGAGAGACCAATACTGTATATAATGTATATATATAAACTCACTGTATTGAACACAATAACCGCACTAAAGTTATTATCATATTATTGTTTACCACTGTTGTTTATTACAATAAACATGCACAAATCTTGTATAATACTAATGTTCTATCATATATTACATATTTACAATCACTGGACATGGTTTTAGAACTGCTGGAGCTTGTGGAAACTCCTTGAAACAAGGCACCATGCACAGAGGCACCTTACATTCCTCACACATAAACGAGTGTCTTTGCGTCTTTGTTGCCGTCTTTTTGTTTGTGCACAGACGATGCATCTCTTCTGAGCAAATTTCTTCTGAGTTGAAGGAAGTTGTATTATGAAATGATCACCTTCCCTCCTCAAACGCTTGGGTATATCCTGAGGAATTCGAGGACCGTGTTGTATAGCAGGTGTTGTTACCTGGTACTTCATTATGAGTTGTCTGACAACAGACAAACAAAATTCACCATACGGTGGTCTGTTGCCAGTCTTTATTTGGTACATATTATATGCATTGAGCATTGAAATGTCCATGAGATGGAAGAAAAGTTTCATGTACCACTTTTAACTCTTACGAACACAGTCAACAAAACCAATCTGCATGTCACATTTGTCAACCAAGCGCATGTTTTGTGTATAATCAATCACTGTCCCTGGTTTTCGAATACATTCATTAGTCACTCGATCAACTTTGCCACTGTCTTGCATTTCATTACGGTGAATGGTTGTCAACAATGTGACATCTCGTTTGTCATGCCACCGTAATGCCATGATGTCATTGGCAGTAAACACCTGCACGTCATCACCACGAGCACCTGCGTTGAGCCTGGGCATATGTTTACAATTAGAACGCACTGTGCCACACACATCTGTCTTGTTCACTCGCATGAAATCACTGAGTAATGGGCTTGTGTACCAGTTATCAGTATATAATGTATGCCCCTTACCAAGATAAGGTGCCATCATGTTTCTCACTACGTCACCTGAGATACCCAATAACATCTTGATATCTTTCAATGTTTTACTACCCGTGTAACAACAATATCCAACACCAGGCCACTGTCACAATCACAGAGTACAAACAGTTTTATACCAAAGCGTTTCCTCTTGCTCGGTATATACTGCTTGAATGACAGTCTACTTTGAACAAAATCAAAGACTCGTCAATTACAAGATTCTTGAATGGATAAAAGTATATGCTGAACTTTTGTTTGAGATACATGAAAACATTTCTAATCTTGTATAACCTTTTCACTTCTGTCATGCCTGGTTTTTTCAGAGAAGTGCAACATACGTAAGAGTAAGATAAACCTGTTCACTGGTATGATTTCACTGAAGACCGGGGTAGAAATTAGCCGATCTGTGGACCAGTATGCTTTTATATTATGCTTATAGACGTGAGGCATAAGCATTATTGTTGCAAAATAGCAAAATACATTTCTGCAACAGTCGTCTCTTTCCACCTGTGTAGTCTTGACTGTGGTGATAAGATCGTATTTGCCATGGTGTACTCAAAATACTTATTACTTTCCCTGACAATAATTTCCATCAATGGCTGGTCAAAGAATAATTCAAAGAATTCCAGTTCATTGGCCGTGGTTCCAAGGGGACAAGTAGGTAGAATTCCACTTTGAGAGTCATCAAAGTGGTGAGGCTTGGGAACAAAATTGGGATTTTGCTGCCAATCCCACATACGGTTTGCTGGTGGATACTGGACATCATAGGCTGGTTGTGCGGGTGGTTGTGGTTATGGTGGGCTGGTGGCTGGCGCTCCGCTTTGTCCTTGAACTGACGAGTCAGCAGCGTGGGTCCCAGCGTGGCCTGGTGAGTCACGCATGGCGGTGCCACTACCATCACCACTAACACAATCCACTGATGCCTGTGGTCTATCCATGCCAAGTGTAGCCACATCATCCTCACTATCACTACCTAAAACTGGTGTTGGGCCACGGGATGTACTCCGTCCCCTGGGCACAGCATAGGGTACTCTACCCGAGCGCATGCGGCGGCGAACATACCGACGCTTCACTGGTGAATATGATTCCTCACTATCACTACTCGAATGATCGTCGAGCGCAATAAAATCACAGTCCACGTCACTATCATCATCATTACTGAAGTCAGAGGCCTGGCCACGCGAAAATATTAGTTTTCTCTTGCGATGAGGAACAACCGTCAGTGAGTCACGAGTGCCCACACCAGAGGTAGAAGGTTGAGGATCGTCAGGGTTTTCTGCACTATTATCGATATCCTGGTCATTCTTTTCGGTCACTAACTGATCAAAGCTGTAGAATTCGTCTTCATTTCCACTTCCATCAGTGTCAGAACTATCAGATAGGAAGAGGAGAGTCCCAATTTTCCGGGGAGTGAGAGCTGACTTGCGACGAGGCATGGTGAACAAGGGTAACTGAGCCGGCGTTCCCACAATGCTATGCGGGCGCCTAGATTTTTTGTTTATGGCGCACACCCACCACGCAGACCCGTTCTCTCACATGTAGGCCTATGAGCGTTTTCGCGCTAAATTTGACAGCGCTAGAATTTTGGCGTAGATCTACGGTTTGGACACTCAACGTAAAGCCGTTGATCTACGGGACGGACCCTGAAAGGGTTAATGGGTGTGAAGCATGGGTTGTAAATGCTGCAACAAGGAGGCAGCTGGAAGTAGTGGAGATGCCGTGTCTAAGGGCATTGTGTGGTGTCAGTATTATGCAGAGAATTCGTAGTGTGGAAATTAGGAGGTGGTGTGGAGTTACTAAAAGTATTAGTCAGAGGGCTGAAGAGGGGCTGTTGAGGTGGTTTGGTCACTAAGAGAGAATGGAACAAAGTAGAATGACTTGGAGAATATATAAATCTGTAGGTGAAGGAAGGCAGGGTAGGGGTCATCCCTGGAAAGGTTGGAGGGAGGGGGATAAATGAGGTTTCGTGGGTGAGGGGCTTGGACTTCTAGCAAATGTGCATGAGTGTGTTAGATAGCAGTGAATGGAGACAAATGGTTTTTGGGACCTGACAAGCTGTTGGAGTGTGAGCAGGGTAATATTTTGTGAAGGGATTCAGGGAAACCAGTTATTGGACTTGAGTCCTGGAAATGGGAACTACATTGCCTGCACTTGAAAGGAGGGGTTGGGGATATTGACAGTTTGGAGGGACATCTAAGCTGTTGTGTCTGAGTGCCTCTCCCAAAGACAGTGATTATGTGTGAGTGATGGTGAAAGTGTTTAATGATGATGAAAGTTTTTTCTTTTTTGGGTGGGGTTTTCTTTCTTTTTGGGTCACCCTGTGTCGGTGGGAAATGGCCAATGTGTTAAAAAAAATTCTTAAATTAAGAGACATGAAGAATAAGGCTAATATCAAATATAAAAAATGTTGTTGACTGTTTTAAAGAATATTATGCCTTCTGTTTCCCACCATGGCAGAACGTGCTTTAATGCACAATTGAGCCCAGCAATTTGCGAGAGTTAGGTTCCATGTCAGAGTCATTTCAATTTTTTTTAGGAATAGCTCATTAAATATTGCTTTAACTGATTAATTCTATAAAGAAGAATGAGCCATGTTTTGAAAGAAATTTTATGGATATTTTTTTTTATCTAGGGGATGTCATTAAACAAAAAGACAATGGGCACCAAGAAAAATGGATCAGTGAAGCTATCTACAGAAGTGCTCTTAACAAAAAACATTGCATAATCAAGTTGTGTGGATTAAGACACATATAAATTCCATGATTTGACAGTGTAGATGAAGTAACATTTCGGAAATAGAAATGTATCTTTTTTCTAGCAACCCATGAAATCTTTGTGGCTTTTGCACATTCATGAAGATGATAAATATATTTTGACTAGTGTCAAAAGTTGTAAATTGAGAATTTCTGCTGTTATGACATCTGTTATAACAGCTAAAAAATTTTTGCTGATATACTGAGCTTCACATGTTTTGCAGTACAATACCAATGAATATTAGTGATGGAGAGTATTTTATGAAACATTTATGTCTTTTAAATATTATCCTTATATGCTATATCATTTTTTTTCCTCGGTCTCTATATAAAGATCCCAGGGTTGATATAAAGATGAGTATTGCCATTTTTTATTCAAAATTAAAAATCAGAATTATGTTACTAAATCTTCCTCCATCAGTATGGAATATTATCCTTTCATTTGAAGTGCTGAGTTTACTACCTTGATCAAATTTTCTCCTGTTATGTAAAGAAAACTCATTCTCTGTTCCTAAGATATAAATTTATTCAAACTGCACATTTCCCTGTCATGTTTAGGAATATTTGTAAAGGCTTTTAAATTTTACTGTTATGTTTAGTTCTATATTGATTTCATTTACTGACTCTAATATGTTTATGGCTATACTCTATTTTGCCAAGCAATTAATCCCTTGATTTGGTTATTTAACCCCTTCAGGGTCCAAGGCCCAAATCTGAAATGGTGCCCCAGTGTCCAAGAATTTAAAAAAAAAAATTGTTATTTTTTCTTATGAAATGGTAGAGAATCTTTTTGTGAAGGTAATAAAACAAAAAGTACGAAATTTGATGGAAAATTGACGAAATTATGCTCTCGCGAATTTTGATGTGTCAGCGATATTTACGAATCGGCGATTTTGCCGACTTTGACTCCCATTTTAGGCCAATTACATTATTCCAGTCAACCAAATTCTTAGCTATTTCACTAGTATTACTTCTATTCTATCGACTGAGCACAAGAAATCGCCAAGTCAACTGTTTCAACTACAAATTAAAGTGATCGGAAATTGTTAATTTGGCCAATTTAACACAAAGTTCAAAATATTCCAATTTCAAAATAGGGTCCAGAATAAACAATGTAGGTATTCCTGGAACTAAACTAACATTTCCTCTGTTCGTTAGTTATGTTTTGAGGCTTTACAAATAAATTCCATTTTTATTTTTTATTCACATAATGAATTTTTATTCACACCAAAAAATAGAAGATTTACTGTTATGCAATACTGTAATAATTGTATAAATATCATCACCATATTTGTGAATGCATATTAGACCCGCCATCTGGCGTGTATTAGACGTGTGAGGTCGTTTGTTTACTCTTGAATATCGGCAAAAATTTAACATTTCTGCTACTTTGAGCTCAGTTTCAAGCCATTTCCAGTGCTAAAACCAATCAAAATCATCTCTATTTCTGTAATATGTCTTCCATTCTATCAAATGAGACCAAGAAATCGCAAATAGAACTATAAAAAACATACGAAAAAACACTGCAAAGTCGCTGTTTTAATCGAAAAATCATGATTTCAGTTTTTTTCTCTCATTATACATAGCGTGCTGCAGGATCTGTTTTATGTGGTGCACACATACCACATAGATGTATTCTCTCATATCTAGGCCCAAATGTACCAGTCACAGTTTATCAGAGTGAGCTGAGCTCATGATGTAGATCTACGGTTTGGACCCTGAACGTAAAGCCGTAGATCTACGGGACGGACCCTCAAAGGGTTAATATTTGTGAGAGTAAGGTTTGTACGAAAGTGTGTTTCCTGTTGCACTTACTATACACTTTAAAAAGATTCGTTTTTTTTTTTTCTGTAGGATTGCCATTGACTTGGAATCAGCTTGAGCACCTCACTCTCCCAGTGCTTCTGGATAGATTGGTGTTTCGTCGCTTTTTTCCATTGGCACTACAGATTGCTAGCTTTCTAAAGCTACCCGAGTCCGATGGAACTTCACGTATTTGGAACCTGAGATCTGTTGGAGTGTGAGCAGGGTACTATTTAGTGAAGGGATTCAGGGAAACCGGTTATTTTTTATATAGCCGGACTTGAGTCCTGAAATGGGATGTACAATGCCATTGCACTCAAAGGAGGGGTTCGGGATATTTTGCAGTTTGGAGGATAGTGTTGTGTACCTTTATACGTATATGCTTCTAACTGTGTGTTCTGAGCATGCTCTGCAAAAACAGTGATTATGCGTGAGTGAGGTGAAATAGTTATTGATGATGAAAGTATTTTCTTTTTGGGGATTTTCTTTCTTTTGTCCACCCGGCCTTGTGGGAGATGGCCGACTTTTAAAAAAAAAAAAAGTCTTTATGACAGTACCTACAAAATCATCACAGACAGGACCTGTAGTTCAGGGATAAATTAGTAAGTACAGTGACCCCCGCATAACGATGGCATCACAAAGCGATTAATCCGCATACGCTGCTTTATCGCAAAAATTATGCGCGCATACCGAATAAAAACCCGCTCATCCGATTTTTCGTCCGAGACACGTCACAATGTGCGCCTCAGCCGCCTCCCATGTGCCGCCGTGCCATTGTTTTACCCCAGCCAGCCTCCGCGGTAACATCCAAGCATACACTCGGAAATATTTCTATTATTACAGTGTTTTTCGGTGCTGTTCTGGAAAATAAGTGATCCATGGGCCCCAGAAAGCTTCTTCTAGTGCCAACCCGTACACAATAAGGGTGAGAATCCTATAGATATGAAGAAAGAGGATTCTTTGATAAGTATGAAATGGAGGTGCGTATCGCCGACCTTAGTCAAGTTGTACAAAAACCCCAATCAACCATCGCTACTGATTGTGGGCCACCAGAAGACAATCAATGAAGCTGTTCCTTGCCAAGTTTATCGTGTTTTCGAACCAAGATCGCAAGTGAAGGTAGATGTTGAGAACTCTTATGGTGGGGATTAAAAGTAAAAAACAGCTAGCATTAGATAGCGTCTCGCAAGGCGATCATATTGTGAAAAGGCTAGAGTTTATGCATGAGGATTTAATTAAACAAATGCCTGCAACTAGTGGATATTTGAGTGAATTTAAGGCAGCAAAGGTTGGTTGAGAGATTTAAATGCGCTAGTGCATCCCTAGTGTGATAAGGCATGGTGAAGCTGCCAGTTCGACCACAAAAGCGGCCTGAAAAATATGTGCAGGAATTCAGGAGTACCATAGACAGTGAGAGGACTGAAACCTGAACAAGTGTTATTATTGTGATGAAAACAGGCCCTGTTCTGGAAGAAAATGCCAAGCATGGACCTACATTACTCAGGAGGAAATGTCACTCCCAGACATAAGCCTATGAAAGACAGGCTTACTTTGATGATGTTGTGCCAATGCTAGTGGTGATTGCAAAGTTAAGCCTTTATAGCGGGTATCACTCTGAAACTCCCAGAGCGATTCCGGCAAAGAGAATGTCGCTCAAGGATAATTTGAGTGTGCGTGGAGGGCAAACAGTAAGGCATGGGTCACTAGACTTTTTGCTAGTAACTGGTTACACAGCATTGCCCCAATGTAAAGGGATTACCTAACTGAAAAGAAATTAGACCTTAAGTGCCTCCTGGGTGGTTTAGACAATGGCCCCCTCGTCATCTACAGACGTGGCAGAGCGACTTTATGGGGACATGAGCTTCATTAAGTGAAGTTTTTGCTCCTAATACCACTCTCTCCTGCAGCCCCCAGGACCAGCAGGTTATTGCAACTTCAAAAAACATGTAAACACAAAAGCTCTGTATTGAAAGGTGCTTTGTAGTGACCTTCAGAAGCGCTCAACTGACTCAAACAGACGGAGTTTTGGAGAGAGCACTAATATCCTCAATTGTGTAAACCTTATAAGGTAAGGCTTGGGAGGAGTGACTAGAAGACCTTGAAGCTCTGCTTGGAAAACCTGGGTGGCCAGAATGTGTAGACGAAGGGATTTTGAAGGGTTTGAGGCTACCCTGAGAGGATTATTCCAGTTGAGGAATCCATTGGGCATTGGGAAAGTCCTTGGGTTGGAGGTAGTGGGGAGGAGTGGGAAGAGAGGTGGAGGAGACAATGAAGAACTACTAACCACTGATGAGCTGATAATCAACTTCCAACCGCAAGAGGCCGACTGAGGATACTGGTTCAGAGAGGGGAGAGAGAAATAAAAGAAGTTTTGCCTACTACAAAGATAAAGGAAATCTGTGGCAAAGATGCTTGAAGTGCAAACCATCATGGATGAAAATCACCCCTCGACCCAGCTATTGCAAGCCATGCTGGTGATTATTAACACTGACAAGGTTGTTGAAACACTTTAGGGAAGTCATAAAGGAACGAGCGGTACCGGCCACTATGGACAGATATGTTGTGCTAAAGAAGTCCATTGACTCTGAAGCTGGTCCTAGTGGCATTAAAGAAGAAGGAAGTAACCCCAGAAAAAGGACTTTGCCACCGTGCACGTCTTAATTGGAAGGGGGATTCCCCTTCTAACCACTAGACATCCTCTCACTCCCCTCCTCCCTCCCATCAATCAATCACCAGATCGTCATAAAAGTAAGTGTCCATGGTAAGTTGCCATGCCTTTATCAGTATATTTGTGTGTCTTAAATTAACATTTACATGGTGGTAAAAAAAATTTTTTTTCGATAACTCTTGGGTGTCTTGCACAGGATTTTATTTTATTTCCATTATTTCTTCTGGGAAAATTTCATTCTCATACCGTGATTATTTCGCAATAACAATTACACCCTCTTGCACAGGATAAAATCGTTATGCGGGTCCCCACTGTAATACCACTTTCAGAAGCCCATCAATGTTAGTATGTTACTTTGGCTAAAATTGTCATTGTGTGATGTGGATCACAGAATGTAATAGGATTTTTGATTGTCAGAATGTACAATTCACTCGCAGAGGGTCCCCATTTTGCCACCCTGTCCCTGAATTAAACAGTTCAATTATCTTGATATAGTAAGTAGTCGTTAGACCTTGTTAACCAGACACCCTGCAATATATAGCACTACTGGGCATATGATGACTTTGGCTATAAAGATGGTGGGTAGGGTACTTTGGTGTGCAGACAGTCTTGAATAAAAAACAAATTATTATAAACAATGAACGTTTTTAAATGTCCATGTTTAAATTTTTAATGAGCTTATTTCTACATACGATGAGGCTTGAGGAGAGCCAACATAAACCATATGCAAATAGTCCCTTCCATGACACTGAATCACCAAGCTGTTACTTGATGGACAAATAAAAGAGGCAGAGAAAGTGAGAGCTGAGTTTAAAAATTCCCGAAAGAAGTTTTAGTTTGCTATGTTGCATTCACCATCTATAGCTATTATCAATAATATTGGTTAAGAAAAAATTGTTATTTTTCTCTGCAGGGTCTATATCAGGGGTGGACAAACAATGTTGGTCAGGTAGGCCACCTACTGTACAAATACAGTGTTTTTCTGTGGAAAGAAGTTTATAAGTTTATAGCTTTACACTAGCTGTTACAGAAATTTTACTTTTTTTGTTACAGCAAATTACAATTCTGCATACATATTCTGTTTTCTTTATGAAGATATTGTGGTTGCGAGTATAGCACATGCTCAAGCAGGCATTGGAAGAGCTGGCTACACTTCTCAAAGAATAAAAAAAATACAATTGGCTTTGAGGTATGTCTGGAACTGGTATTTTTACATATGTAAATAATAATAACAGTAATTAATAATAATAACAACTATTCCTAAAATTTACATCATACTGTCATAATTTTTAACCCTTTCAGGGTCGAGACCTCCCGATCCTTAACTCACTCTCAGGGTCGAAAATTAAAAAAAAATTCCTTATAAATGATAGAGTATCTTTTTCTGATCATAATGACACTAAAAGTATGAAATTTGATGAAACATACGGAATTATGCTCTCGTGAAGTTTGTGTTCTGAACGATATTTTCTGCATCAGCGATTTTCGCCCCACCTTTTGAGCCCTATTTTCAGCCATTCCATGTTTCAGTCTACTAAAATCATAGCCTATTTCACTAGAATCCTTTTGATTATCAATTGAGTTCCAAGAAACTGCCCATGTACCGATTTCAACTTCAGATTAAGTGGTCAAAATTGGCAATTTGGCCATTTCACACAAATTGCAAATTGGGTCAAAATAAACAAGACATATAGACATTCCGTGGCACTAAAATAACATTTTATCTGTTCGTTAGTCACATCTCCAGTCCCTCATAAATTACTTTTGCTTTCATTTTGAATTTTTATTCTCACAAAAGACTTAGTACTGTAAAGTTACTACAGCATCATTGTATAGAATGGTGTAAATAGTAATAATCAGCACACGCGTGCAAGAATATTAGACTCACTATTTGACATGTATTGACAACGTGATGTGATTTGTTTACTCTTGAACATCAGCAAGAATCAACTTTTTGCTACACTTGTGCTCATTTCAAGTTAGTTGTCGTCATGAAACCAAGCAAAATTATCTTGGTTTCTGTAATGTACCTTCCATTCTGTCAAAATATACAAGAAAACGAGAATACCTCATAAAAACCATACAAAAATAGACGCAAAATAGCTGTTTTTAAACGCAAAATCATGGTCAGTTTTTTTCCCTCCTTATGCACTGTTGTGCTGCAGGATTTTTCTTTTGTATACTGCCGCACACTGAACCCGCAGACACATTCTTTCACATATAGGCCTACAGCCTTTTTCCTGCTTGATTGACGCGCTAGAAATTTACCTACTATTACGTCACCAACACTGGTGCATAAGACGTACTAGTACATCAAAAACCTTAAAAGGTTAAAAATCCTCATAACATAGTACAACAAAGCATTTCCAGTTAATTTATGAAAAAAAATAATTGGAGTACATACATGAAGCTTTTAGATGAATTTTGGCAATTTTGGACAAAAAAATTCCTGAACGACATTGGAAGTATCAAATTAAAGTAGACAAAAGCCATGAGTTCCAAGTTTTTATCCATAGCATTA